GAATTCACAGGAGGCAAGACTTACATGATGAATGAGAGAGATAACGAGAGAGATAGAGAGGGAGAGAGGGAGAGAGAGGGAGAGAGGGAGAGAGAGAGAGAGAGAGAAAGAGAGAGAGAGAGGGCCAGAGGGAGCCAGAGGGAGCCAGAGTAAAGGAAAGAGGGAGATGGGAAAAGAGGGAGTTGGGAGAAGAGAGAGGGAAAGAGAGATAATGCCTAAGAGGAGGAATGGGGAAAGATAATGAGATAAAGAAATAGAGGGAGATAAAAGCACTGAACAGAAAAGTAAACTGAGAAAGAAAACTACCCTGTATAGTGTAGATGGATCTTCGACTGTGTGCAGTCGAAAATGATGCCTCCACCATAGAGCGAATTTACAAACCAAAACAGAAACAATTTATTCAATTCAAGTTTGATGGTAATCGGTAAACAAGCTATTTTTTCATATACGTGTATGACCTTTGACCTCATGACCCTCAATCTAATCAGTTAATTGGCTCTGCCAGATGCATACATAGACGCATTTATACTGTCAAATACTCATTTTGAAAAGTCGCGATGTTTCGCGCACCCATTTACACTTTGTGCGGAAACATCACCAACTGAAAAGCTCAGTGATGTTTTGCCGTGTTTTAGTTCGTAATGCGCATGCGCGGCACTCCAATGCGAAAACTTTCCTCTTTCTGTCTTTCCTTATGTTATTCTTTTTTTTCTTGCCAGATGCATACATAGGCACATTTATACTGTCAAATACCTCATTTTGAAAAGTCGCGATGTTTCCCGCACCCGTTTACACTTTGTGCGGAAACATCACCAACTGAAAAGCTCAGTGATGTTTTGGCGTGTTTTAGTTCGTAATGCGCATGCGCGGCACTCCAATGCAAAAACTTTCCTCTTTCTGTCTTTCCTTATGTTATTCTTTGTTTTTTCTTCTATCACCTTCTTTTTATGTTATTCTTTATCACTTCCTTCTATCACTTTCTCTTTCTGTGTTTCCTTATGTTATTCTTTGTGTCTTCCTTCTATCACTTTCTCTTTCTGTGTTTCCTTATGTTATTCTTTGTTTCTTCCTTCTATCACTTCCTCGTTTGTGTTTCTTTAGGTTATTCTTAAAGCGTAGAGGTAAAGCGTAGTTGCCCTTGGTAACATCGAGGTCAGGCTCCGGTTTGGCATATTTTGGCGTGTTTGGAAGACAGTGTAATTGCCCCTTCTGTCCTGAGTTTGATAATAATCCATCAGTTGTCGGTTCTATTGATAATGGGTTCACAAGCTATTTTTCCATACATGTACATAAATGAGCGCCCCATGACCTCTGACCTTTGACCTCATGAACCCAACAGCTAATCAGTTCATTAGCTCTGCAAGATACATACATGTCTTGAGTTTGATGGTAATCCGTCTATCAGTTCTAATGATGTGATCACGAGCTGTTTTTGCATACATAATGAGCCCTGTGACCTCGTGACCCCAAAAATGAATCGGTTCACTGGCTCTGCAAGATACATATGTTACCTAGGTTTAGCGGGAATCAATCAATAGATTCTTGAGATAATGCAATCACGAGAATGGGTCGTGCACTGTACATACGTACAGATGGACGGACAACCAGAAAACATAATGCCTCTAACTACATTGTTAACAGAGGCATAAAACACATAAAAAAGAGATGTTGTAAGAAACGGCCCATTCTGAGGGCTGCACTGTAGCAAGAAAATGCGTTGACCAACTTAAAAAAATAGCAGCATATCCCCTGTCCCACCATCCAACCAACCTTCCAATCACCAACAGATTCAGGGTGCGTTTAATCTAAAAAAATTCACCCTAGAAACGCGTTTTTCAAAGACAACTAGTTTAAAACACAGTTGCATTGAAGCGTTTTCAAGTGATTTTTCGTCGGTCGTAAAAAAAAAGTGTTTCAAAACCCAAAACATTGAAACGTTGAAAAAGATGTAGAATCACGGTCGCTAAAAATCCCTTGAACACAACAGAGATCTGGTCTGCTTCTGGTTTGCCCGACAGTCGAACGTAAGCAAATTCAGAAAGCGCCTGCCGAAGTTGACTTACATGTACATATACTTTCTGGGTCAAACTGCACAGTGTGATGCGCAGTGGCTAGGCTTGAAACGAGCAAGAATCAGCGTTGATCGAAAATCGCTTGAACGATCTTCCGCAGTAACCGTGTTTTGTAACAGCGTTTTGATTTGTGATTCTAGCTTCAAAAAAATCACTTGAACGGTCCGTCAGAATGAGGCCATGCAAACCACTTACTCTTCAAAATGATGTACGTGTACATAAACACACAAACATCTACTTCTATGCATGATGGTTAAACAATTTTTTTTAAAGGAGGGAGAGTAGGGAAAAAATGATTTATCTACATAACAGCTGTGCCTGAAGTGGTAAGTGCACTGTGCACTATCATGTAAAGAATGTGCAGGCTATCTATGCCACTATGCCTTGGGCAGCAGCAGCAGCACTGGTAGAGTGATACAGTGTCTGCAGCATATCATAATACTCATCAGTGAAAAACATAATCAAGATGAACATTTACACCTGTGCTCTCTTTTTCTCTTCAGATTAAGAGAATTCCTTTAGATGACAGAAAAACAAAAGATTTAAAAAAAGTGCAAGTACTACTTTTATGCAAAAGTGATGAATATAGTGAGGTGAACATGCTTCATTTATTGGTATGAAAACTTATATTCCTACAGCCTTTTACGTGCAGCTTTTGTCACGGACAAGGCCCTAAATCATGTTATTCACCATTTCCTTAATATCAATACAACATTCATAGGATATGTTGTATTCATACCTGCCAACATTTGAAAATGAGAATTAAGAATTTTTAGCACGGTATGTCTTCAAAAATAAGAAATCTGTACCCTTAACAGGCATTCGCACATGCAGCGGCAGTAAACTGGCAATACGCGGTAAATCTGTGCAAAAAAGCGAATACAAATTCGCTGCTCAATCATGCAGCCCTTCAACATACGCAATACGTGAACTCTCACATCGCGGCATTTGATAAAACAAGCTTAATTTGGCTTAAGCAACACCAAAAAAAAAAAAAAAAAAAAAAAAAAAATTGAAAATCCGGGAGATTCCAGATTTTGGGGTCCTAAAAATCCAGAAAAACAGGATATTCTGGATTATTCGGGAGGGTTGGCAGGTATGTGTATTGTCAAAACACCAAACTGTAAAGATTTTTAATCGTAACCTATGACAAAAATATTTCTCAGTTATCTTCATAAGATTGCAAACTACTACAATATAGACTTTAGAGAAGTCTGTGAAGTACTACTGTAGTCCTAAGTTTGATGGTAAACAAAGAAATCAGCACTAAATCCTTCAAGGACCTGAAATGTTTCATTGATAGTCAATTTTTGTCTCATTAAATATGAATTTGGGCATAGGACCTTACGAACATGATATTTATTTTTCAAAACAATCACTTATTGAGCTTGATCAAATATGATCAATTTCACTTGCTTACACTCCTACTTTTGGTGTATCCTAAAAACATGTACACATTGTTCATGTAGGGCAGTAAGATCCTAAAATGATGAAAGATTTTTTGCAAGATTGGCCATATTTCCTTGTATTACAAAAAATATACAAACATTTTCACATGGATGAATGTTAAGTCAATTACAAATAAATCATGAAAGCCTTCTTGAGAGCTCTCATCACTTGGTGAACACAAACCCAAATTGAGACATTTCAATGTCAAAATGCAATTTCTGTGAGATAGTCTTGTCAAAAGAAGAGTGTAAGGGCGCGTTCATGCTTGATTTTGACGGCCAGAATCAGGCATCTGTTACGCGTTTAGTTTAAAACACGCTTGCGTTCATGCTCACTTTTGTAGAATCACTGAAAAAACGGCGATCACGATCGCCGATCGTAAACTCATAAAAGATGCGTTTACAATTTGTAAACGCGTTTAAATGGGGTCAACGCACTGACCTCTAGTGGGTCTACGTAGCATGCACAGTGAAGGTTTGCGAATCCAGCTGGAAGACCAATTAAGGCCACACACTGAGAATTGCCTGAGGGAGCCAGAGAAGTAAGCATGAACACTACATCGTGGAACTGCGATCACGATGAGCGTTTACGATGAGCGTTTCAGATCGCTCATTCTGCCTTCAAAATTTAAGCATGAACGCAGCCTGAGACACACACATGTACACACACATGTATAGACACTTCAGATCTAGAGCCATGAGCAGTTCTACGGTGTGTAAGGCTCCCACCTGCTTGTGTGGAAAATATCACAAATAAAAGGCTCTTTCTGAGAATCCAATAAATGCTTGAGTACTGCTTGTTATGCTCCAAGCTTCACCAGACCTTGCCTTGTCAACCAGAGGCAGCAATATTTGTGTTTTTTTTCTAGTACATGCCCAGCTGCTTATAACGGATTCAATGCTAATTAATGATTCCAGGAAACAGATAAAAATACCTTCAAATAACCAGTCCGAACAAGGCCTTCTCTGTTAAAGCTCTTAATCTCATAACACACAACAAATAATGAGCTGGATGATAGATACTGTCAAAATTAAGCTGAATAATCTCCATACAATACATGTACCAATATTTCTTTAGGCTACACTGCTACTTTAGAACAATGGAGGCATAAAGGGGAAAGAAACTACAAATGTTTCTGTGAAATGTCATGTATTCATGAATACAACAAAGATTGAAATAAATCAACAACAAAAAGACGATAAGGAAGTTAGGAATATCAGGGGGGAGGAACATAACAAAACACAAGTGAAACAGATCCTCTTTTGGAAGCCACAATGGCGCTTAGAGACTTCGGTGGTAAGAGCATTATAAGTAACGTTTTTATTATTATTTTTATTATTATTATTCACTAAGGCTCTGAGTAATACATGTATATATTAAATAACTCCTGATGGCCAGAAGGGCATAGCTCATACTGGTATGTGTGCAGTGAGTAATGTCCTTATACATGTAGATCCAAGCAGATGATATTATACTAACCTGCAGCAATACTGAGCCTGTGCTTAAGACGATCCTCAGACAAGCATTTTGACCTGCTTCCCATCGTGACAGTGCATGTATGTCATGTATGATACCATAAGGGACTGGACATTCCATGTAACCTTGGGGCTGCAATGAAAACAAAAAAGAGAAAATCACTATTCAAATCAAAGCATAATCATTGCATGAATATTTGATTTGAAAAGATAGGATAACTTTATACCCACTTTCATACTGGAAGAAACAATATACTGTAAGTTAATATTTAATACTTCAATGTTCATTTTATGCAATTCCTTTGCAAAAAAAAGATAGCTCAGAACTGGGGTTAAAGAAAATAACGCACTAAAGTCAGTGGAGTAGCTTAACTGCAATGTATCATTCAGTTATTATCAAATAGAAAAGAAATTTCCCTGGTCAGAAGGTAACAAAACCTAAGTTCATAGCAAATTGCTTTGGATAAGAAAAAAGGTTTGTAAGCCTTTCAGTTTCGTTGATCCATTTTATTTCCTCTTCTACTTTCATTCAAAATAACATGCCGTGACGGTCCACGCAATGTCCATGCAATTGCTAACTATTAAACAGAGACAGATATTTGCATGTGATGTAGAATAACACAAGTACAGATACAAATGTACACTGTATGTAACTGAAAATCACTACAATATCCCACTCTCTTGCTCCACCCCATCCCTCCACCTTTCTCTCTCTCTCTCTCTCTCTCTCAATCCCTCTCTTTCAAAATATTTAATTACAAAATATTTTCTCTAGAAATAATAAATAACAAGTACCATCAATTGTTCATATGGGCACACAGCCAATGAAAGCTATCAGTTATCATGAAATTATGTGCACTAAATGATAACCATAGAATTAATGAATTTCCTGTATAATGGTAATTCCCAAGAGTAAAACTTGTAGACCACAATCACTACAGAATCGATATGTTTATTTCATATTCCCCATTGTAAATGTAATTGTTGTTTGAATACACATGTACATGTATATAGTGTATCATGCACACATATAGTAAACAAAGGCCTGTATCACATATAAACTCCCAATATTCTTTAAAGGGAAAGTCCACCCCAAAAATAATTTTGTTTCGATAGAGGCAGAATAATAAGAAAATCAGGTGAGTGAAAGTTTGAGCAAATTCTGAATGAAAATAAGAAAGTTATGAATTATTGAAGTTGTGATCAATCAAATACAAATTGGCAACTCTGTGACTTATTATACGAGCTCTCCTTCATTTGCTTTGTGCATAATATTCCATAAAATCATGTTTTCTTCGTTATTGATGACGGAATATATATTTGTTCCTTGCAGGGGGAGTATAGAAACATATTTGCAATTATTATATTTAGGGTGCATGTATGGTTGAAATTTTTCTTGAGGGAAAATGAAAATTTTAGATTTTTTTAGTACTGAGCAAATGGAAGTTGAGCTCGCATGATACGTCATAGAGTTGCCAATTTGTGTTTGATTGATCACAACTTAAAAAATCCTAACTTCCTTATTTTTAATCGGAATTTGCTCAAACTTTCACTGACTTGTTTCTCTCATTTTTCTACTCCTATTAAAACTAACTTAATTTCAGGGTGGACTTTCCCTTTAAATAAGCATGCAAAATGAAAGTTCAAGACACTGCAAAGAACATGATACAAGCAAGAAATAAACAGTCTGTTTTCTGATGTACATGTACATACTCCTAGTACATACAGTATACCTGCATGTACAATGTATATCTTCAACATGTCAAGAAGAAACAAAAAATATGTTTTTATGCAACTTTGCAAATGGTACAAATTTGATGTTAATAAATAATTTGATTTCTGAATTAGATCTCATTGTTTACTTTCTGGTATCATCTTCACACGTCATGTATTAATATCGCATGCACAAATTATATAGTAATTGGCATACAATGACATCAATAACCCCCATAGATGCTCACGCCTAAGGCTTGTTCTGACTGAATGAGACTAGACAAACACACTTAATTACATGGGCATACAACTGAACAGCAAGACTAGATGTAAATGGGACAGCGACTACTTTCATCATACTGCTCACTGCCTTTCCATGTATACAGCCTAGCTACGCAAGATGCTGCATGCATAAACTGCAGGCATTACACCGCAACATCCCTCTGATATTCACGACATTGCAGGGTGTGGATATACGTATGGATTGCGTGTGTGTGTGGTGTGTGGTGTGTGTATGTAGTGTATCAGTCTCCGACCTCTTCCAGCGATCAACAACGTAGAGTCTATTGTCAGCGCCAAGTGTGATTGAGAGAGGCAGACTTGGCTTTTTCTCCTTCACCGTATCCCTCTACAAACTCGTCTTCTTCCCCCCAATATGCTAATGAGCTCTTTACATGCAGCCGAAGCAATGCACAAAACTGGGCATGCAACCCTTCAATATTGGGACATTGTTATTAATTCTAAAAGAGAAGCGTTTGGAATCTTGCAATGTTACGATTCGGCTGCGATTGATATGAAGAAAAATGATGGACTTTTCTCATTCTCTTACTATACAGAGACGATTAATGAAATATTCATTAAGTGAATAAAATCTATTCTTGACTTTTTGTATAATGAAAAATTATTTCTCTCCTGTAGTATAAAAATGAAAAACATCATGCATAGATACAGAAAATGAAAAAGCATTTCTGATACTGCCCTGTCTTCCTGAATCTCATGGGCTCAGCGATAACTTATAAAATATCTAAAACTGCCTGCAGGCATCAATTTCAATAAGAAACCATATAACTCTATAATACAATAGGACAGCAAGTCAGCAATTCTATCTTTCAAGTTTTAGAGACCTTAAAACATTTACATTTGTGAATTTTGAAATCTATACATGTACACCCTGTAAATATGATCTTTTGCCTCCACACAGGACTAGATTTAAAGCTAAAAATAGAAGAGATATTCAGCAATGTTATACCATAAATCTCCCATAAAGAAGAAAAAAAGTTTTGAATGAGAGCTGTTTTATATTGTTATTGCAATATTTCAAGGGAGAGCGCCTTTCAGTTCTGTTTAACGTGTTTATACATTTCTCATTCTATGAAGTATTAATAATTCAAGCAAATGATGCGATAACCTCAGGTTAATTGGCTGTACTATTTGTACAGCATCTACATTGTACATACACTGTAATGCATGTTTTTGGACCCCTCTTGGCATCTACTGCTTACATGTATGTTTAATAAGTCACGATTAACAGATCTCATGTGTAAGTGATTCGTCCCCACCCTCTAAAATAAAATCCTAGCTACGCGCTTGAGCGACATATGACCAGTATATAAAACATGTACATGTATCATTGTATGTATGTACATGTATGTCTACTCTACATGTAATGTACACATCTACAGTACATGTAATCCTTTTTGTACATGATGCATTTACAACATGCAATGTGGATATATTGTGGCTTTTCTTTGAACAGGATGTCAGCAGTTCCAAAACATCCTGCACATAATATCCTGTACATAGCTAGAGGAACCCATCACATTCATAATACCGGTAATGAATACAACAAAGAATGGCTGACACTCAGTCAAGTCTTCTTCGCACATGATGCACTCAGTTGGCTTAGAAAAAAAACCAACAAAATAAAAATATGCTATTTCAAAATAAATAGAGGGTGAAGATGGAGGGAAGTAGCTTCATCCCCACCCCCCTCCACTTTGCATGGATGTACATGTACATGTACCTGTGTGATATGAGTTGAGATGAGGGTATACAGAAATGTGAAGTGACTACAATTATTTATTTGTATATATTATTACAGCAGCATTTTTAGGTGATTTACCATGTGATGTGTGAACATGACATTGTGATTTAATAGTACAGATGACCTCCATGATTCTACATTGTAACTCTACTGGTAGGCCTACATGAATGACTACACGAAGGACTACAAGAAGGACTACAGATGACCTTCATCAGTTCATGATTGCTCTACATGTACAGTGTACATTGTAAGTCTACTGGTAGGCCTACATTAAAGGTAAAGACCAGTTTTGGAAACCCCCCCTTTCAAAAAAATGAAATTGAAGCTCTTATTACAAATCATGTGAAAGAATATGTTTTGACTCATTACATGATGATTCAAAATTTGCCAGGAAACGGCCTACTACTTGATATATTTGGTAAATTGGTTTATCTATTGGGACCAAATTGATAATATGCACGTGTCGCACACGTGTGCATAGTCCCATATACATCTTTCTGTGTACAGTGCTTGTAACTTTACAAAGACTGGGCCAAATTTCTTATCATTTAGATGATTCCAGAACCTTGCAGTACACCCCAATACTTATCGGTATATGCTAGATGATCAACCTAATATTGATCGATTCCACAACGTTTCTTTCACAATGCAATCGCATGACCAGAACTGGTCTGTATCTTTAAGGACTGCATGTGGGACTACATGTCTTATAGACCTACCTATACATTATAAGTCCATGGTACAATGTCAGTACAAACTGCTGAGAGACAGACAGAGAGAGAGAGAGAGAGAGAGAGAGAGTGGGAGAAGGAGAGAGAGAGAGAGAGAGAAGGAGAGAGAGAGAGAGAGAGGGAGGTAGGGAGGGAGAGAAAGAGAGAGAGAGAAAAGGAGAGATACATGTAGAGTGTGGGTGTGTGTGCTTGTATGTGCGTTTGTGTGAGAGAGAGAGAGAGAGAGAGAGAGAGAGAGAGAGAGACAGACAGAGAGTGTGAGAGTTGTTTACACTATAAACTACTGGTACATCACATATGCAGTCCTAATACTATTTATAGATGTATCTTCATGTATTGTTATGAGTATAACATAACAGGCCAACATCTCATTCTGTCATTCCTCTTCAAACTTTACATTTGTCAGTGAATTCTTGTTCAGAATACCCTAAAATATCTGCTAATTTCTTATCTTTCCTCTCTGTTCAAACCAGCAGTTAACTTGTTCAAATTCAAGTGCTTCAGGATGATCATTTGGCTTTTACCAGCTAGTTCACATTATTCATGTTATTTTACCCAATTGGCCTGTACTGAACCAGTGCTTCCCATATTAAGCCTACATGTATGGTAAAGACAAAAGAGAACATACCAGTACATGTACGGTACATGAAAACTGAAAAGAGCGGGCTATACATTCTTTGTATTGATTTGAGACATTCAATTCTACTCCTTACCAACCCTATGTGTGCTAAGCATTTACACATATTGAAAGAAATCACTTGTAAGGTATTATAAAGCGCTATGTAGTATGTTCAATGTACACTGTAAGAACTGTAAATATCTATCACATGGATTCATATTTCATTATGATTTCTATTTGCGAAAAGAGAAAATATGAAGTTTGTATCATTAATAAGGGTGAGAAGCTGTTTGTCATGTATACAAGAGTCATATTTTTTAATTAAAGGAGGGGGGGGGGTACATAATTCATATCATTCAAAACAATATACCAGTCCACCTCCCTCATTCCTTTGTTGTACATAGAGTTCACTCATAATATATTCAGGCTTGTCAACATGCATGTACAGAAAAGTTGCCATTGTGTGTTGGATGCCCCATAGGGAGCTAAAATGATAGCCATTGGTCCATCAACAAATTTGATGAATTGTATTTATTCAATTTGTGCTTTCGATGCCATTATATTCCTGCCAGCTCTCCAATTACGATAAGTGCTTTAACTAAACCAGGAAGCGTTGCTACAAAGGACTGCACTTATCAATTCCTGTTATCGTTTTGATGTGGCAGACCATCAGGTTTTTGATTCCACAGTTGTTGGCAGTATATCCAGCAAGGCTTATGGGTTGATGTGAAGTATACATGTATCAAAACTGCCCTAGATTTTGGCAAGGAATCTCAAACAAAAAAGATTAGTATACTGTTTGTGTATTTGAGTGATATTATCAAGCAAACATATGTAACTATCAAGGGATAGAAGTAAACATACAACACTCATTAGTCATTGGATGGAACGTGACATTATTTCAGCCTAGAAATAATAATAATTCTGTGTTATTTGGTGTTAACAAAATCATAACAATGAGCATACCGTAAATGTACACGATGATGCAAACACTCGACTACTGCATGTATTTTGTACTATTGTACAATACATGTATGTTGTACTACTGCTTTTTGTAGTACTACAGACACCAAAGCTTGAGTCATGGACTATATGTACTGGACCCCACTGGAAATAAGCTCTCGAGCTCTCGAGCTTTTGTGGGTTATCCTGTTCAAGCTGACTTATTTTTGATCTGTTATTATTGTATATTGTTGTATGTTGGAAGCTTGTTGAATAAAAATCAAACAATCTACTGTACATGTATGTACATACAAGTATATGTATACATGTACTGCACAATTCTGTCAGAAGTACAAATCTTTTCTTCTTCAGATTACTATACTGTGCAAAAAGTGTAATCAACAACTGGACTATAATTATTTTTTTAAATAATGAAATAAGAATCATACATGCTGGAGCAGAATAGTAAATGGAGGATAAAAGTAGGGGGAGGATAAGTAGGGGCCGGACCGCCGGAGGAGGGGAAGGGGGAGGAGGGGAAGGGGGAGGAGGGAAGGGGGAGGAGGGAAGGAGGGGTCGAGGATTGGGTGGTGGCACAAGGAGAGGGGAGGAGGAGGGGAGGAGGGGAAATGGATGAAGAAAGAAAGAGGAAGAAAGAGGAGGAGGAAGAGGAGAAAAAGAAGTAAGATGATGGGGAAGGGGTGTAGAAGAAGGGGGAGGGAAGGAAGAGAAGAAGGGGGAGGGGTGTAGAAGAAGGGGGAGGGAAGGAAGAGAAGAAGGGGAAAAGGGAAGGAGCAAGAAGAGGGGAAACACTGGAAGTAGAGTTGGAGAGGAGAGGTGGGGAGGAGGGCCGAGGGGGAGGCAGGGAAGAGGGAGAGGAGGTGGAGAGGGGAGGGTAAAGAAGAAGAAGAGGGTGGTTATCATATTGATGATAATGTTGGACTGTTGGTAATGATGATATAGGATAAATGTGATAATGAATTAATGATAAATATATAACAACTATGGTGATGATCATGATGGCCATTATCATGATAGAAAAGGAAGATAGAAATTGACTAGACTACAATCATTTTGTAATTATTGAAATAACAGCAAATGTAGTAAACATCCTAGTCCCACTCCAAGATTAATTTCGACATCATCATCATGGTCATTATCAACACCAACTTGTACACCTCCACCAAGTTCTTTTTGCTCACTAATCCAATCAATCTACATTCATAATCATAGTTCATAATTCATATATTGATTTTTAAAAACAATTTCAAGTACATGAAGTAGACCCTTTTAAAAAGGCTAGACTCAATTTGACAATAGATATACTCACATTTCTAGAATATATCGTTGTATCCCCCAATACTAATTGATGCGTTTCCCATCTTCTCATGAATTTTAAATTCAAGATTTTGTTCACAACTGTATTCGCGTGGTTTATTCGACATATTTGTATGCCGCTTTCATGGATCAATTTGTATTTTAGTTCTCCACAATCGGGTCCATAAGCTCCAGAGAATCCCATTGTTCTTCACCAAGTTTAATGTTTCTTCAAAATTAAAAAATTAAATTTTCCTGTTGTCCACCTAGTTTTAAAAAAACTTGATGATCACTGCACTCGGCTCAGTCCACTCCATAGAATCAATTGTCGTAACCATTTTAGCAACAACAAATAATACACAAATGTGATTCCAATCGTAGGCTGAAAAACGATGTTCATTTAGGAATGTAACTAATGTAATGAGAGTTGAAAAGTCCGAGTCGATTCTGCACAGTATCGGCCGTCTCGTCTCGTCGATGACGTATACGCTTCAATTGCCGGAGCCACAATCACACGTTAACTGTCTTCACTTCAGATTTCTATTAATGACATTTCAGTCGTGTTGTCAGTGTTAATGTTGTAATATTCAACAAGAAGGAAATGGAATTATCCTCCATCCGAGTTCCAAACACAATGCGTGTGTAACTAGAATCAGAAAATAGTGAAAACAGGCCTAATTCCGGGTTTTCCGGCTGTTCAGAAGCGGCAAGACGATCATAACAATGTTCACAGTTGCAGTTTGTGGTCGTGTGTACGGTATACATGCATGCTTAGAATCAGCTGTTTATCATGCATTTCCACCAAATTTGCACACAGTACAACGTACAGGATCTGGAGGACACAAGAAATATACCGAGCGCGCGTCGTGCAGGATAATAGACTCTCAAGTTCAAGTTTCAATTTTCAATTTTCAAGTTCAAGTTTATTTGTCTTTCTTCCAACATGGATGTTATACAATTTAACAAATTAACATGTGACAGAGTACATAAAACAAGGAACAATTATAAGGAAAAAGTTCATTTAAGTGAAATAGAAAGACGATCGAGGAGACCGCGAAAGCATAATTTATAGCTTATAGACAGTAATAACCGTCTGACATGGGTCATTTCTTTAATCAAACTGAGATTTGTTGACATTCCCCATGTATCGGTCAGAGGAGCCAGATACAATCTCAGCGGCAGGCCCGTAGTCACGTAGCACGTGCCCCAATTTTTTTCTCCAAGATCGGTTGAACTTTTTTAGACCCCGCCTCCCCAGGACGTCGATCAAGTATGTGCCCCCCCCCCCCCCCCAAAAAAAAAAATTAAAAAAAAAAATCAAACTCTGGCTACGGCCTTGCTCAGCGGAACAACCGTCGATATCAGAGACTGAAGCTTTCGGTCTAAGCTTGTATAAGACTCTCTTTTTTTTTGTATATCTTGATGTATTTTGCATATTTTATAGGCCGATTATCAAATTGTTATGATTTCTTTAACTTTTCAGAGAGTTCTAATTCCTTTATTTCTTTGGCGTTATCGAAACAGTATAATTCAACTAATATATATAACTAAAACAAGTGTGTGCGTTAAGACTGGACGGTTACCCCCTGATACTAGATCGCCATGCTCGCTCACTTGTTAATCTCAAATCATTGCGAGAAACTGTCCATCAATGGCTTAAATATAAACTTAAGCTTGTGGATTACAACTTTATGCCCCTTTATTCTCTGAAAAATCAAAGAGATATACAAAGGAAGCCAGGGCTACACTTTAAAAGAGCTATAAATAAAGTCCCACCCCCTCAATATGCAATGGAAAAAACCCATTAAAAACAGACCAAACATCATTAAACAATTATATGCAATCCATTTTTCAAAGTTGAATTGTGGTGAGGTCGTGTTGGTTTGTTCTGTTGTTTTTGTTGTAGGGTGGGGGGGGGGGGGGCATTTCCTATCAAATCTCAATTCAAATTTATATTGGTTGAAATAACTAAATTATCGAATTATGTGTCAGCAAAAGAAGAGACCACCCCCCCCCCCCCCCAAAAAAAAAGGGGGTGTAAGAAGAGGATCAGACGATACTGTAGTAATGCCACCGGATGCTATATATTTTATTGGCGTAGCATGAGTGTAGCCACTGAATGAAAAGACAAACCGTATAATCGTAATCAGTTGAACAATATACATCGGGAATAACCACTGCGTACGTCACAACAAGAAAGAAATTAATGGTAGGCCTGATCAGCATTTCATCATCATCTCCATCCGTTGTCATGGTAATGACTGAATCCGTATGTGGTGCTTACCACAAACTCTCACACTCCATGATTTGAAGTTAATATTTTGCCTTTTCCAATGCTTTTATTTTACCTCGAATCGCTATTACCATCTAATAAATCTAATATAGCAGAACAAGTACTATATTATGCAAAATATTCCCAGTGGTCTTTTAATTTGTATCAAAAAGGGATTATCATATCATAACTGTCTATACAAATTTCATGTTAACTTTTGAGTGACCATTCCATTGCGGATAATTGTTTCAATTCATTTTGGTTATTTCTTTTTGCCAGGCAGGGGGGGGGGGGGGGGCAATGGGGGATGGGTGCCCACAAATTTACACCAATATTATCATAGACGATATGAATCTTCCAACATGTAACAAGTTTTCTCCTTGTTTATTAATCGCTTAACAAGTTATTGATTTAATTTGTTATTCTTCAGTTAAAAGCCGTGTAAACAGGAGCAAAAAGCTTAAACAAGATTTTTCGCAGACCGAGTATAGCATTTTGAGGAGGCAAGAATTAAGATCCACTCATGACCCATAAGGTGACTTATAAAATAATAAAACAAATATATTATTATTTTGTTAGATATTGCGTCTTGGATTTATACATCATTTATTTTTTTAAAACACTCTTTATACAGTCATGAAAAAGTTCTGCAATATCCTCCTTCAAAATCTACTAAGTTATATGGATTGTTTTCAAATTGATATAAGAATATAATTGTTACTGGTATTACTTGAATTTTAGTTTATTTTGGTAAAAATAGGGTTTTAAAAACATGTTAAGGGAAGAACAGAGTGAGAGAGTGGGAAAGAAGGGGAGAGAGCAAGATATAGAGCGAAAGAGAGAGAGAGAGAGAGAGAGAGAGGGGGGGGGGCGGGGGCTGTAGAGAGAGGAATGTGGGGGGGGGGGGGGGGAGGAGTAATACAGAGCACGAAAAGAATCGTACTTCGTTGATCTGTTCTTCGGGCTACAAAGGTCATTTTAAATGTGGTAATTTTTTTTTCTTCATTATTTTGGTTTTACATGTAAATGAACTGTCACATTTGACATTTTCTCCAATCGAACCTGTAAATCACCATGAATGAAAATTGATTTACCAGACAACAAATGGTACACAAAGCAAATCCAGGGGCTTGCGGACACGTCCCTTATTTCTCAGGCCAAACAAAATCTACTACTAACCTGTGTAAGTTTGCCCCTGCCAATTTAATGACTTTCCTATTGTTTTCATTTACAATTTTACACAGAATTTTGAAGAAATAAAAACCTGATAACCAATTTGTTGCTTAGTTTCTTTGTTCTTGCTCAGTTGCTGTATGCGAACTTTTAGAGATAAATTGTGCATTGAAAAAATGAATGTCCCGCATGTATCATTTCCAAAAAAATAATCCGCTACTTATTTTATTACATAAAATCCAAATAACAGTGTTCCTATATTAAACTCTCGTCTGGAGTCGAGGAACAGACACATCTCTCAGTGCCATTGATTAGGAGAGTTTGGCCAACCCGGTTCGAGTTGGACATAAGGCGACTACTGCTTTGTTGGGCAAGCACAAAACAAAAGAATATACTCCATGTTGTGACCCAGCTAGTGTTCTTTGTATAGATGGCTCTGACATCTCTTAGTAAAGAGCGCCACCTACGTGAAAGGCATACATTTATATTGCGAATTTTTGTTGTTGTTGATTTGATTTGATTTGATTTCTGCAATTTTCCAAATATAATAATTGAATTTCAAAGAACATAAAATATACAAACAATCATAGCTTCATGTCAAAATGATACATAAATGTTGCGTAACTTAAAGATACTATGTCCCTTTTGCAGCCAAAATCAAATTCTGTTGAACTTTGCAGGAATTATGAATAAAATTATGTCATGTAACTATGTCCTATCTGTGAAAATTAAACGTTAACAGTGTCCTGACATTCATATTATGCAAGGAAACCCATTTACTTGCTAGACTTCACTATCACACACTCTTTAGTGTCTGACTGACCCTATTTCTTCTTTGGTAATAACAAAATGAGCTGTAAAGGGTACATGAGCATTTGTCTACATCAATAACCCACTTGATGGCCAAAATTGAACTGATTGATTCTTTGCGCAGCATAAAACGTACGACCTTTCGGTACAAAGGTCTTAAAATCAGACTATTACTTACTGGCTCTATAGCTCTTAAGTCGATTCGACTACTAATAGTCGTTATTTTCCCACCTAAAGACATTTTCAAGCCCCCCCCCCCCTTTTTTTAGGGAAGTTCTAAATTAGTATTATCTTTCAAATGCCGCTGGAATTTAACCTTTTCATTTTTTTGGCCTGCAAATGGGACAAAGTACCTTTGATATTTCTATAGCATATAATAATACGTTTAAAGTAGGCCTATTATCGGAACTATCTGTGGAAAACAGTGCAAGAGATCGCTTTCATATGCAATGCTTTCATTTCTATTTCATTTAATTCCATTCGTCATATAAAACAAAATAATGTAACATTGATATTTACATATAAGTTAAAAAAACATACAAATAACATACGAAAGATAAACACAAAATGCAAATATATAATAATAATAATAATAATAATAATCTTTAAAGGTCCACTCCAAATTTTATTAAACCGAAACGGAAATTCTTTTTGCCCAATTGATCGTGAGCCCGGCAGCCACTGAGCAGCGCCAGATCGACGTTGCTCTATCCCTAATTGTTGAATGCCAAATAAGGTAGCAACAACTCCCATCTTCTAGCGTATTTTGGTATGACGCGGCCGGGCTCGAACCCACGACCTCCCGGTTGTGACTGGGCGGACGCTCTACACTCGAATGAGGAAACATGAAAGAAAGAACAATAAAGTCGTATGTGGTGCTGGTCCCTATTGCGACATAATAAAGAATTTTAACCTACAACACTTAACACCTTACACCTAACACCTAATAACTAACACCTAACATCTAACACCTGATTGCATTATACACCTAAAAACATGGTATTCACAAAAAACGTAATTGTTTGTATCTCTTTTTAAATGTAATATGAGTCCCACACTGGCAAAATAACAGACGCATAAGGGAATTTACCCAAACGAAATTCACTCGAACTTTAATAATTTAATTGAATTTATTTTAAAAAATGAATCTCGCACGGGGTCCCTCCAGAACGGAGGCTCCCTAATGAATGGAGCACCAAAGATCGGGAAAAGAGTAGCTTAGCATGTAGGGGCAATCTTCCCGAGCACAGAGACGAAATTTCCAGTAATATATAAGCCCGGCACTGGCCAAATAACAGAAGCGGAAGCCGGAAGGGGAGCTACCCCGACGAAATCCACTCGAACTTTAATAATTAAATTAAATTAAATAAAAAAACGAATCTTGCTGGGGGTCCCTCCAGAATGGAGGCTTCCTAAAAAATGGATGGCCAAAGATCGGGCAAAAAAGTAGCTGAGCATGTAGGGACCATCTTCCCGAGCACAGAGACGAAATTTCCAGTAATATAAGCCCGCACTGGCCAAATAACAGACGCGGAAGGGGAGGTACCCCAATGAAATTCGCTCAATTTCAATAAAAAAAAAAAAAAATCCATTTATAATTAAATGAGATTCGTTCTACTCCCTAAGGTTTGTGTCCCTCGCGGTAGGCTAAAGAGTACGATATCGGGAAGAAAATTGCCTAAGGCTGTAGCAGGGGCGGAAATCCGTACCGAGTAGTGGGGGGGGGGGGGGATGATCGGCGATAGCCATCACATACTAGCACGAGCACACGCCCACACTAATTTACGCAAGTGCGCGCGATCTCGCACGCACAAACACACAACACACACATACACACGCACACACACGCACATATGCACACACGCACACACGCACACGAACAAACACACACATACCCAAACACATACCCATACATACATGCACGCACATGCCAAATTTGACATCCATCAAGTAAAAGAATTGGACATATTTCGAAATACTGACAGCTGCAAACTGTAGTGTTTTATTATAACGAACTCCGTAATAAGACGACACACAAGTAAGTAGTAACATAAAGATTGAGTACTTCGTCAGGAAGATGGAACTCTTTATTTGAGTCCCATCACTTAGAAAATGAGGGGGTTGTGGGTGATAGGCCTACCACACGAAGCGCGGAAGCTTAGACGTTTACTTAAATTATAAGGAAAAGAAGACGATTTATTGTACCGTTCTCGACTGTTAACCCTTGTCTGAATGAATCCCTCCCTCTCCCGAGCGAAGCGCGAAAGCTTTGGCGTTTCATTAAATTATTATAAAAAAAAGAGATTTGCTGTGCCGTTCTCGACTGTTAATCCTTGTCTGAATTCAGTTCCCTCCCGGCCCCCCCTCCCGCGCGGAAGTTTTGGCGTTTCATTATATTATTAGAGAAAGTAGACAATTCGTTGAACCGTGCTCGACTCTTAATCCTTGTATGAATTCAGTTTCTCCCCTTCTCCCGCGCGAAGCGCGGAAGTTTGACATTACATTAAATTATTAGAGAAAGCAGACGAATGCGAGATTACCAATCTTGTCTTCTCGACTTCTCGGGTACGAAAGTGAGAAAGCGAGATTCCAAATATCGTCTTAATTCTTGACTTCTCAGGTACAAGAAGGTGAGAAGACGAGATTCCAAATCTCTTCTTCTCGACTTCTCGAGTACGACAAAGTGAGAAAGCGAGATTCCAAATCTCGTCTTCTCGACTTCTCGGGTACGAGAAGTACATAATACCGACATTTTTCGTCCAAGTAGTTCATAGATGGCGTAGCCGGTGTGTGACGGGGGCAGTGGGAGTGTACACTATGAACATGACTGACAATGAGAGCGGACAAAATATACAGTTCAGGCTCAGGTAGACAAAGGAACATCCCGTACTGCTATTATGTAAAAATGTGTAGAACAGGTGTCACATGCATATTCACCTTTTTACATAATAGCTGTGAAGGGATGTTCCTTTGTCTACCTGAGGAACTGTAAATTTTGTCCGCTCTCATTGTCAGTCATGTTCATAGTGGTAGCAGTGTTACCATTAAGGGACTTCGTTCGTTCGTGTCTCCTTAGATCAAGATTAAATCTTGATCTTCGGAGTAGTTGCTACAACCAGCCGTGTCAGACATGTTGCCCCGGGGTGCGAGATAGGACACTTGTGGCGTGCCCGCATTTAAAACAATTATACAATAACAATTAACATTACATTTAATTAAAAGTATGAAACTATTAAAATTACTCTCATGTTACGGGAAAGATATTATATATATATATAGATATACACCCACAACAAAAAGTGAGTCATTTGACACATTTAAGCATAATTTTCGTGAGTCAGGTGTAAATTGACTCATTAGTAACAACCAATGAGTCTCTATTGACTCATTTATATTTCACCAGTGTGTCAATCATGAGCTGACGCATTTGCAAAATGCTTCGACTGACTCACATGGTCGTAAAAAATGAGTCAAGATCGACATAAGAGCATTTTAGAAGAAAAAAGTGAGTCAACTTGAAAGTGAGGCTGTATGCATGCGCGCGCATGCTTTCGTGACGTCATCCAAAATGCGCATTCTCGAGCCATATTTGAATTCCCGATCGACGACGCGACGTCGCCATCTTATATCTTGGATTCAGAAGAGTTTTGACTGCAGCTAGTGAAAAATTGGTACGCATAATTATTCATATGGTTTTAAACGATGATTTTTATGACTGGATTCGTGGGCTGAATCTTCTGATTATTATACAAATGATGCATGCGTTCATTTTACGATATCCGCACTCGAGTTGATGAGGCTGTGTGTAACTTAACTATCACTATGAACATGACTGACAATGAGAGCGGACAAAATATACAGTTCAGGCTCAGGTAGACAAAGGAACATCCCTTACTGCTATTATGTAAAAATGTGTAGAACAGGTGTCACATGCATATTCACCTTTTTACATAATAGCTGTGAAGGGATGTTCCTTTGTCTACCTGAGGAACTGTATATTTTGTCCGCTCTCATTGTCAGTCATGTTCATAGTGTATAGATTCTACTGTATCGCACGAAGCCGTGTCGAATGAAAACATGCATGATCTTGCATCATTGTTTTATACAACGAAACTCCTAGATCCTTGTTATTTGATGTAAAACGAATTAATTCAAGATTGTTTCGTGACAGTATGGGTGACAAATAAATCTCAAGTTAAGGCTTAGTTTAGTGCGTACAAAGTAGATTTTTCAGATTCGGGTAGCGGGACCACCGATTACATCGCTAAAATGTGATATTTTAGGATATATTTTCCATTGCAAATGTGGACAGTGACTCTGGCATGGTATGGTATGTGTGTGATAGGCCTAGGGAGTAGGGGGGTCTATGTCATGATGCACCCACAACAAAAAGTGAGTCACCCTTACTCAAATTGATGAGTCACTGGTTTGTCCGTACAGCGAAACACTTGAAGGATCATGTGAGTCACTATGACTCGATACAAATGAGTCTCTTAGATAAATAAGACTCATTTGTATCGAGTCATAGTGACTCACATGATCCTTCAAGTGTTTCGCTGTACGGACAAACCAGTGACTCATCAATTTGAGTAAGGGTGACTCACTTTTTGTTGTGGGTGTATATATATATATTGGATAAGGCAGACTAATGGAGCATGGTTGCAACTCCGAGTTTCACGCCTTGCGAGCGATCATCAGGCAACTGATAGCATGATTACTCTACAATCTACAATACGTTCAAAATAAGGAATACAATACAATACAAAACAATAAGATTTACTCATGGGTGAAGGGGCTATTGTGATTGTTCAGGTACTGCGATGGAATTTTAAACATGGGAGGGGGTATCGCAAAATAGTCTCCACCAAGGAGCTAGTACATAAATATATATATATTTAATTAAGTATAGTCTCTTTTGAAGTTGCAGAGGTAGAATTTGTAGAAGTTGCTACAACCAGCCGTGTCAGACATGTTGCCCCGGGGTGCGAGATAGGACACTTGTAGCGTGCCCGCATTTAAAACAATTATACACACGTCACTAGACGAGATATCGAGGTCATTATGCACTCGAGGAAATCTCTGCTGTTCGACAAAGGCAAACCATGGAGGAAGAAGGATAGCAACGGCCTCTTCGACGTCACTATGGGCAGTTTTGACGGAGCTGAGATATGTGAGTTGGTCGGCCTATACATCCTAAGTATCCTATCGAAGGACTATGGCAAAGATGGAATCGGGCTTTACAGAGACGATGGGCTAGCAGTCTTCAAGAGCATCTCCGGAAGCAGAGTCGATCGAATTAGGAAAAGCATAACGAGAACATTCCAAAAACTTGGCCTAAACATCACAATCGTTTGCAACCTAAAAATCACCAACTTCCTCGACATCACCTTCAACCTGAGTGATATATGGCAAGTACAACCCTTACAGGAAGCCGAATGACTGCCCAATGTACATCCACAAGCTATCCAACCACCCACCATCCATCATCAAGAATCTCCCAGCATCAATAAGCCGCCGAATAGCAGACATCTCATGCGATGAAGAGACTTTCAACGAAGCTTCCCCTGCCTACAACGATGCCCTAAAAGCCAGTGAATTTGCTGAAACCCTCACCTACACGAAGGAGCGCCCGACAAGGAGAAAGCAAAACCGGAAACGAAACATCATCTGGTTCAACCCTCCATTCAGCAAAAACGTCACAACCAACATCGGCAGATCGTTCCTGAGGCTTGTTGATAAGCACTTCCCAAAGAAATCAAAATTCAACAAGATATTCAACAGGAACACGCTCAAAGTCAGCTACAGTTGCATGCCGAATGTCGCCAGCATCATCAAGGCGCACAACAAGCAGGTTTCATCCACGGACGACCACACCAAGCCGAAAACCTGCAACTGCCGGAAAAAGAATGTGTGCCCCCTACAAGGAAACTGCCAGGCCGGCAGTATCATCTACAGTGCAAAAGTCTCCGGCCCAGAAAGCCCTAAGCAATATATTGGACTCACCGAGCCCCCGTTCAAGCTGAGGTACGGCAACCATCTACAGTCCTTCCGACATGAGAAGCACAAAAAACAGCACAGAACTCTCTAAACACATCTGGCAACTCAAACACCAAAGCACCCCATTCACCATCGAGTGGTCGATCTCCAGCAAGGCCCAGGCGTACTCCAGCGAAACGAAGAAATGCAACCTGTGCCTAACTGAGAAGCTTGCCATCATCAACGCCGAGAAACAGACACTCCTGAACAAAAGACCAGAACTCATCTCCAAATGCCGCCACGAAAACAAATTCTACCTCTGCAACTTCAAAAGAGACTATACTTAATTAAATATATATATATTTATGTACTAGCACCTTGGTGGAGACTATTTTGCGATACCCCCTCCCATGTTTAAAATTCCATCGCAGTACCTGAACAATCACAATAGCCCCTTCACCCATGAGTAAATCTTATTGTTTTGTATTGTATTGTATTCCTTATTTTGAACGTATTGTAGATTGTAGAGTAATCATGCTATCAGTTGCCTGATGATCGCTCGCAAGGCGTGAAACTCGGAGTTGCAACCATGCTCCATTAGTCTGCCTTGTCCAATATATATTTTGCTCTGCCCATAAGCATTGAGCACTGTACGGAGGTATAGACCAAATCTAAGTATATATATATATATATATATGTATTATGAATCAATTGATTTGGTCGATCCAGTTCGATGGCACAAACACGGCACTACTGGACAGAGAATGAAAAGAGATCATTTCATGACATGCTAAGGACGACACAGAATGCAAGGGTCCCCCCTTGCAAACTATGTAATCACAGAATGCAAGGGTACCACCTTGCATTTAGTCCCGTCCTTAACATCTCATGGAATGATCTGCGAGTACATAGTTTGGATAGACTGATCATACACTCCTATATAGAAATGAAAAGAGATCATTTTATGACATGCTAAGGACGACACAGAATGCAAGGGTCCACCCTTGCAAACTATGTAATCACAGAATGCAAGGGTCACCCCTTGCATTTTGTCCCGTCCTTAACACCTCATGGAATGATCTGCGATTTCATAGTTTGGATAGACTAATCGTACACTCCTATACAGAAATAAAAGGGGTCATTTCATGACATGAAAAGGACGACACAGAATGCAAGGGTCCCCCCTTGCATTTTGTCCCGTCCTTAACATCTCATGGAATGATCTGCGATTACATAGTTTGGATAGACTGATCATACACTCCTATATAAATGAAAAGAGATCATTTCATGACATGTTAAGGACGACAAAGAATGCAAGGGTCCCCCTTGCAAACTATGTAATCCAAGAATGCAAGGGTCCCCCCTTGCATTTTGTCCCGTCCTCAACATCTTATGGAATGATCTGCGATTTCATAGTTTGGATAGACTGATCCTACACTCCTATATAGAAATGAAAAGAGATCATTTCATGACATGTTAAGGACGACACAGAATGCAAGGGTCCCCCCTTGCATTTTGTCCCGTTCTTAACATCTCATGGAATGATCTGCGATTACATAGTTTGGATAGACTGATCCTACACTCCTATATAGAAATGAAAAGAGATCATTTCATGACATGTTAAGGACGACACAGAATGCAAGGGTCCCCCTTACAAACTATGTAATCACAGAATGCAAGGGCCCCCCTTGCATTTTGTCCCATTCTTAACATCTCATGGTATGATCTGCGATTTCATAGTTTGGATAGACAGATCCTACACTCCTATATAGAAATGAAAAGAGATCATTTCATGACATGTTAAGGACGACACAGAATGCAAGGGTTCCCCCTTGCATTTTGTCCCGTCCTTAACATCTCATGGAGAGATCTGCGATTACATAGTTTGGATAGACTGATCATATACACTCCTATATGGAAATGAAAAGAGATCATTTCATGACATGCTAAGGACGACACAGAATGCAAGGGTCCACCCTTGCAAACTATGTAATCAAGTAGTAGAGGTCTATTTTTAATAGTGTTACATGTAATCCACTACCGTATGGAAAATCATTACATCAACAATTAAAATGCAATTGGAAATCTGAAGAGGAGGCAGCACGTCAATAAGGAGAACATCACGATAATTAGTCAATAAAACTTAATTTACTTAAACGAAGAGGAATGTTATCTAAACACATAGTTCGCGATGGATATTAAAACTTCTTCGCAGCGCTAATGCGCTAGCGAACGTGCAGACACTATTCAGAAGGGAAAGAACGTACTTCCATAGGCTCAACACGCACCATGCCCCAATCTGTGCCGCATAACAAAATAACGCCCCCCGCCTCCATGCGCGCGCATTTCAGACGCACATACCCCCCCCCCCCAGTTTTTCCCGTTTTCGTCGTTACTGTCACTAAGTGCCATTTCCTTGTCTTTCTTCCTTTCTCACCCGGCTTCTCTCTTCTTTCTCTTTTCTCTTTCTCTCTCTCTCTCTCTTTCTTCTCTATACTTTTCTCTTCTCCTTTCTTTTTCTTTTCTTTTCCTCCTCTTTTTTTTCCTCCTCTTTTTTTTTGGCGCCGTCAATAGGGGGGGGGGGCGGCCGTTTCGCCCCCCTTGGATCCGCCACTGTATTGTATTACATTTTCACTGACAATGAATTCAAATTTTAATGCAATTTTAAAGTTTCCCAGGCTTATTTAGGAGAATGGAAAATTGATATCGTTAAGTTCTTCGATAACATCACTCAGTTTGATTTTATTGGAGATATACCTCATTAATGAAACAGTGTAAAGGCTATATAGTCTCATTTAAACCTATACCATTAAATTTCAAGCTCACCCACACATGATATATTGCGACACTTTCAAGGCTACTTATCTGACCGTAATAAAATGACTCAAATCCCTGAGTTTCAGGGGGCTCAGCCCCCTTGACCCTACGCCAATTAATAACCTGCCAGTGTCAAGAATAAGGTATCAAAATATGCTCATCTGACCGTAATTAAATGCCCACACCCCTAAGCTTCCGGGGGCTCTGCCCGTTTACCCTCGCCGGGGCTTTGCCTTTAGACCCCACGCCAATTTACGCTACGCTCTACCTGATAGTAAATACTTTAGCCTCCCCCACCCACTTTGAAAAAAGATCAGCGGGGCCTGCATGTAAGCGAATGGGGTGATGCTTATTTTTTGTCTGCCACCCAAACACTTTTGCTTATTATGTCACTGCTGGTCACCATAACGTACACAAATTTGGCTTGCAAAAATTCAAATTTGGGCCCCCCCCCCAAGAAATCCTGCCCAAAATATAACGCGGCGATGTAAGCGTGCATTCATAGTCGCTCTGGTAACGAAGGGATCGGTACCGAAATATGTGAAACAATTGCACATTTATCAAACAATGTTTAAGCTTTCTAGCATTGGCGCCGGAAGTGGGTGACAGGGGGGGGGGGGGAGAGAGGGGCACTTGCCCCCAACCCCCAAAATGGGGGGGGGGGCAAAACGCATTTTTGCCCCCCCACAAAAAAAAAAAAAAAAAAAAAAAAAAAAAACGCCCCCCTTCCCCAAAAAAGAAGATAAGCAGTAAAGGAGTAAAGATGGTTTGTATTTTTAAGCCAACAGAACATAACAATAATACAAACCTGAATTAAATCACATATTAAATTCCATTCAAAGAAAAAGAAAGTTAACATGAATTAAATTTCCTAAACATTCCGCATATGCTACCTATATTTATCAATGGAGGTTTTTATATTAGCGATACGCGCAAATCGTTGAAATATTATGAAGAGGATGGGAAAGCGTGTGTGTTTTTTTGTTATAGGGTGAGAAGACATGAGCCCCTGAACGGGGGGGGGGGGGGGTAATTTATTATTCGATACCAGTGATTTACAAATGTTGCTGAAATGACACGATTTTCCGGTATTTTTTTCTTCAATTTTTGTGTAAGTCATACATTTGTAATGCGTTTGTTAGAAAATTAGAAATTCCGAAATTTACAGTCGGGCGAAATATATGCTCATTTAGAAGCCATCTTGTCAGGTCCTGCAGAACGGCTGGGCTCGGCGGCTCGAGCCTCCCCCTCACTTTTTGAAAAATTATGTTATAGAGAAAAAGTAAGAAAAAGAGAGAGGAAAAATAAGTGACCTACCAATGTTACAAATGAGGTATCAAAATATGCTTATCTGACCGTAATTCAATGCCTGAAGCCCAAGAGCTTACGGGGGCTCCGCCCCCGGACCCCACCAAGGGCCCTAAGGCGGCCCCTGAATGCGCATCTGACCGTAATTGAATACCTAAAACCCCTGAGCTTCAGGGGGCTCTGCCCCCTGGACTCCCCGCCAATTAGTGACCTGCCAGTGTCACATATTAGGTATCTAAATATGCTTATCTGACCGTAATTTAATGCCTAAAAACTCTGAGCTTCCGGGGGCTCAGCCCCTTGACACTCCACTTTGAAAAATGTTCCACGGGGCCTGCATGTAACGTGTAAGAGTGGTGGTTAGCAGATTTTTCCTTCCCCCCTCCCTTCCAAACGTTTTTGCTCATTACGCCACTGCCCCTGGAAGGTGAGCCCCCTGGAATGTTTGCCTCCCCCCCCCAATCCCAAACTGCTTCCGGCGCGCCTGCTTTCTAGACTTCGGTAGATAACACTGTGGCTTTATATACAACGACAAACTCGTACAGCACTGTAGGATAGCAGGTCAGAGCAGGCGCGGATCCAGGATTTCTTAGGGGAGGGGGCCCAACTTTTTTTTTTTTTTGCTCCCGAAAATTTTGAAAAACGCGCCGGCCAAAAATTCGGTCAGGGGGGGGGGGGGGGGGGGGGGGGGGGGGGGGGGGGGGGGGGGGGGGGTAGTGAGCACATTTTTTTTTTTTTTATCCTCAAAAAAAATTCAATTTGCACCCCCCCCCCCTTGAGCGCCAGGGGGGGGGGGGGGGCCAACCCCACAAAATCATAAAAATCACGTGATTTCACATGATTTTTTTCTCAAGGAGGGGGGGGGGGGGGGGCCCGGGCCCCCAAAATCATAAAAATCACGTGATTTTACATGATTTTTTCCTCAAGGGGGGGGGGGGGGGGCCCGGGCCCCCCGGGCCCCCCCCCCCCCCCTGGATCCGCCACTGGGTCAGAGTTCACAGTGTTAAACAAAATCCATTTCAATGATGTTATTCTGGCGGCAAGACTACGGAATTTTCCGTACTTCGGTGATTGCATCATTCGCGGCTTCTACGGGAAATCCCGTAGATCGGCGGATATGGGTTTTAACAACTTGAATACTTTCAGTTTCATTTGTAGGGCTAAAAAGT